TTTCGATAATTGTGACATTAGACTATTCATTTGGGATTGTTCTTCCTTCTTTAAATATGCCTCGATTGCTATATACTTTCCTCTTAAGACTGCTTTTGCTGCGTCCCACAGTAGTTGCGGCTTTGTGTTGTTGTTGTCCTTTGTTTCATATATTGCTGGATCTCCATTTTAATTTGGTTGTTGATTCTTTGATTATTTAAAAGCATGTTGTTAAGCCTCCATTTGTTTGTGAGCCTTTTTGCTTTCTTTGTACAATTTATTTCTAATTTTATACCTTTGTGGTCTGAAAAGTTGGTTGGTAGGGTTTCAATCTTTTGGAATTTACTGAGGCTCTTTTTGTGGCGTAGTATGTGGTCTATTCTGGAGAACGTTCCATGTGCACTTGAGAAGAATGTGTATCCTGTTGCTTTTGGATGTAGAGTTCTGTAGATGTCTGTTAGGTCCATGTGTTCTAGTATGTTGTTCAGTGCCTCTGTGTCCTTACTTATTTTGTTTCAGGTGGACTTGTCCTTTGGAGTGAGTAGTGTGCTGAAGTCTCCCAAAATGAATGCATTGCATTCTAGTTCCTCCTTTAGTTCTGTTAGTATTTGTTTCACATATTTTTTTGCTCCCGTATTGGGTGCATATATATTTATAATGGTTATAGCCTCTTGTTGGACTGAGCCCTTTATCATTATGTAATGTCCTTCTTCATCTCTTGTTATTTTCTTTGTTTTGAAGTCTATTTTGTCTGATACTAGTGCTGCAACACCTGCTTTTTTCTCCCTGTGGTTTGTAGGAAATATATTTTTCAGTTCCTTGACTTTTAATCTGTGCATGTCTTTGGGTTTGAGGTGAGTTTCTTGTAAGCAGTATATAGATGGGTCTTGCATTTTTATCCATTATATTACTCTGTGTCTTTTGATTGGTGCATTCAGTCCATTTACACTTATGGTGATTATTGAAAGATATGTACTTATTGCCATTGCAGGGTTTAAGTCTGTTGTTACCAAAGGTTCAAGGTTAGCTTCTTTACTATCTTACTATCTAACTTAACTCGCTTATTGAGCTATTATAAATACTGTCTGATGATTCTTTATTTCTCTCCCTTCTTATTCCTCCTCCTCTATTCTTCATATGTTGGGTGTTTCGTTCTGTGCTCTTTTTAGGAGTGCTCCCACTAGAGGAGTCCCTCTAAAATACCCTATACAGGTGGTTTGTGGGAGGCAAATTCCCTCAACTTTTGCTTGTGTGGGAATTGTTTAATCCCTCCTTCATATTTAAATGATAATCGTGCTGGATACAGTATCCTTCGTTCAAGGCCCTTCTGTTTCATTGCATTAAATATATCATGCCATTTTCTTCTGGCCTGTAAGGTTTCTGTTGAGAAGTCTGATGATAGCCTGATGGGTTTTCCTTTGTAGGTGACCTTTTTTCTCTCTCTCTGGCTGACTTTAATACTCTGTCCTTGTCCTTTATCTTTGCCATTTAAATTATTATGTGTCTTCATGTTAATCCTCTTTGGGTTCCTTCTGTTGGGAGTTCTGTGTGCTTCTGTAGTCTGAGCACATATTTCCTCCCCCACTTTGGGGAAGTTTTCAGCAGTTATTTCTTCAAAGACACTTTCTATTCCTTTTTCTCTCTCTTCTTCTTCTGGTACCCCTATAGTGCGGATATTGTTTCTTTTGGATTGGTCACACAGTGCTCTTAATATTGTTTCATTTCTGGATATCCTTTTATCTCTCTCTGCATCAGCTTCTACGCATTCCTTTTCTCTGGTTTCTATTCCATTAATCGCCTCTTGCATCCTGTCCATTCTGCTTTGAAGTCCTTCCAGAGATTGTTTTATTTCTGTAATCTCCCTCTGTAGTTGCTCTTTTAGCTCTTGCATATTTCTGTGCAGATCCAACAGCATGTTTATGATTTTTATTTTAAATTCTTTTTCAGGGAGACTGGTTAGGTCTATCTCTGCAGGTCCTCTCTCAGGTGTTGTCTGCACTATTTTGGACTGGACTATATTATTCTGCATTTTCATAGTGATAGTGGTGGCTGTAGGCAGGTAGTGTGTGTGTCAGCTGGGAGAAGAAAGTCCTTTCCTGCTTGCTGGATGCCTTGCCCTTCTCTGCTGCCTGTGTCGGTTACCCGCACTCCTGGAGCAGCCACTGGGTTAATCCCATAAGCTGCTGTGGGCGGGGTCTCCGTCAGAGTAGTGCAGTGCCCTGCGGAAAGTGGCAGGCATGCCGGGTGCACTCCCCCGCAAAAGCGGTGCTCCTGCTGGGCAGGTGTGTACCAGCAGAGGCCTTTGGGTCTGGCCCAGGCCACTGTGCGTTGGGCTGGGATTCCATGCGGCTGCTGGGGGCGCGGCTGCTCCTGGTCTGCTCCTACCCTGCCGCCACTGGCGCATGTGGGCCGCACTCAGGCCCTTGTGGCACTGCTGTAGGCGCACACAGGCCTCTTCCATGCCCCTCTGGCTCTGCTGCCACTGGCACGCGCAGGCCACTCCTGGGCCTCTTGGTTGCCACTGCTGCAAGCTTGTGCAGGCCTCTTCTGGGCCCCTCTGGCTCCATGGCTGCCGGCGCACGCGGGCCACTCCCAGGTCGATCAGTTGCCGCCGCTGCAGGCCACTGCCGAGCTGCTTGGTTGCCGCTGCTGCGGGCTCACACATGCCACTCCTGGTCCCTTCTGGCGCTGCTGCCCCCAGTGTGTGCTGCTGCTCTCCCACTACTGGGCCGGTGTGTCGGGGTCCACGCCAGTTGGGGGAACGACTGGCAGGCTGCTTATTGCCGTGAAGGGCTTCAGAGCTGTGCTGCCGCCCAGGGGATTAGGGTGCCTAAAGTTCCCTGGGATTCCCAGTTGCTGGCTAAGTGTGCCGGGAAAACTTCGTACAGCTGTGGGTTCCCTGTCTCTTTAAGACTTGCAAAACGTACTCACTTTTCTTTTGTCTCAGTGGCACCGGTTGCGGGGACCTGCCTGCAGGTTTTGCTTTTCCATTTCTCTAATATCCAGGACCCCGTGCACCGTGTGTCTGTGCTCCGGGTGTAGATTTCTAGAGCTGGTTGTTTAGCAGTCCTGGGCTTTCCCTCCCTCCCCATTCCGACTCCTTTCTTCCCAGTGGGTGCAGATGTAGATGTAGCCTGGCTGTTGTACTGTATCCACTGGTGTCTCTTTTGGAATAGTTGTATTTATTGTATTGTCATAAATATATATGTTTTTGGGAGGAGATTTCCACTGAACTACTCATGCCGCCATCTTGGCTCCGCCCTCTGTACATTTTATTCCTTAAGTTTTTCTGCATGAAACAGACACATGTAAATATACTCTTGATATTGTACTGTGCCCAGAAAGATCCTTGGCAAAAGGTGGAAAATGAAAAGTGACTTTTGAGAAAGGGAGAGAGAAAAGCTCTTTGGCTGACAAACTAAATCACACCTTGCATGGGAGCAGGGGGAACCTGTGACTTGCTTCTAACCAAAAGAATATGGCTAATGTGACAGGATGCCAATCCCTTGATTAGGTTATGATATGTGGCAAATGTGATGGGATTTCACTGCCATGATTATGGTATGTCATGTAAGACTCAGTCTTAGCAGACTGGAGCAAAAGACCCTCTCCTTGCTGGCTTTGAAAAAGTAAGCTGCCATGTTTTGAAAGGATGTACAGAGAAGGCCACATGGCAAGAGCCTCTAGAAGCAGAGGGTAGTCCTTCACCAAAAGCCAGCAAAACACTGAGGACCTCAGTCTTCCAGCTGCAAAGACATATTATCTTTCCAAAAGCCTGAATGACCTCGGAAGTGAATTCTTCCCTAGTAGAACCTAGACAAGAATATAGCCCAGCCAGCACACTGATTGCAGCCTTGAAAGACCTTGTGTACAGAACCTAGGCATGCTGTGTAGACTCCCAACCCACAGAAACTGAAATAATAAGTGTGTTGCTTTAAGCCACTAATTTTGTGATAATTTGTAATGCAGCAATAATTTAACTAATATACTCTATTTTCCTTGGAAGACAAGTAAGTCCACTCATAGTATAAGTAAGATACACAAGTTAAGTTTCTCATAATTTAATTATCATAAAGAAAACTCTGTAAGATCCACTAAATCAAGTCCAAGCACAACACTAGCACTTTGCTGCCCTTGGGGCAGAAGATGATCAATGTCACAAGTAACAACTGATTCTTCTTGGACCGGCAGTGCTCTGAATGTGTAAGTACCCATCACAGCCCACAGCCCAGATCGCCAACCTAATCCTTCCCTTATCTATCCACAACCTCATCTGTCCCTTCCTGCATTGCCTCCTACTTGCCAACTTAACTCTTTCCAATCACAGGCCAGACCTTTGAGTCCTTGCCAATTCTCCAAGTCTGGCTCCCTTTGACATCTTGGCTAAGGGAGGCTTTGTATTCTAAAGCCAGGCACGTAAGTGTCATCACCAAATGAAATCAGTGTGTGAAGATTAACTGTTCTCCCAAAGGGAAAAGAAAATGGGATCCTTTTTGAAAAATAAAAAAAGTTCATTAGAAAACAAGCCCATCACTGACACACAGTTTACTCCACACATCTCCAAGATCTGGGTGGTTTAGGTATGCAGGCAGAAGGCAGCTGTCTATTTTTTTAAGTCTAAATATTGAATATCTGATCTCACCTCAGCAGGTTTCTTGAATTCTTTTGGAATTTTTGACTTGTTTCTATGCATTGAGCCAGAATTAAAGGAAGTGGAAGGACCTGCAAAAGATAATTAGAAAAAAATGCTGAGACTTATTACCTGCTAATAACTAAATGTCATATAGCTAAGTGTCATCCAAGAGACTATGAAAGATATGATGGAGAAGAGCACAGTGATCTTATATCACTGAAGAAGACAGTTAAATTGCAACCAAGAAAGTCTCACAATGGAGTTTAACAACATTTATAAGTGACCTCTCAGTGTACAGAAGCTTCCACAAGGCTAATACTAAGGAGATTCAATCTGGTGTAATCATACCAAATAACATTTTGGAATAACATGATTCATAGTCCACCTGGAGAAAAAGTATCTGCAAAAGCAAGTGGATAAACTAAAACTGTGGAGCAAGTAATCTGTGTATGCTTCAGCACTTCCACAGGCACTATTAGTAAGGTTGTTGTCTTTTACAAATGATGAGTTATTCAGTCAAACATTTAGTACCTGAATGACAATTAGAATTGTAGGGCCTATAATTTACACTCTCATACTTTTCTTCCTTTCTAGAAAAGCACTGTTAAATAATTATTAGATTTAGCTTTTGTTGTTTTAGATAAATGAAAAATGAAAAACAAAATGCTATATATATGCTACCAGTTCTCCCACCTAACTTACCTAATTCTAATTAAATTTAAATGCATATAAGAAAAATGGTATTCCAAGCTTCACTTCCTAGAAACATTGTTTTTTAGCCATTGAAGGAAGCATGAAACAGCTTGCCCTCAAGTCAAAGAAGAAACCCTCAAGCACAGATACAGAGGTTGCCAGCTGTTGGCCGGTTCTACTCACTCTCGTCTGAACTGTCACTGCTGCTGAGAGTTCTATGGCGTTTCATCCTGGAACATCCTGGGAAAGAGAACAACACTGAATAAAACAGTCAACACACACACACCCATCCTAGAGGGCAGTTAACAGATGTAGGAAGTCCTACAGAGTCCCAGCAGCAGCAGACAAATCAAATCAATCAAATGATTTCTGTCAAGAATATTCTTAAATGACCTAGAGTGATGGGAGAAGAGTACTGCCAAATTCTCTAACACAATGGCAAAGACTGGGTGAGGCCACCTATTAGCCTTAGGAGGAATCCCAAGCAGTAGAAGATGAATGGTACAGACTGGCTGGAGCCCCATGAGGCCACATGACAGCTGCCCACCCAAACAAAGAGGGGGCAGCCATGGTGCTGTCACCAGCCTGGGATCCTCAATAAGGGAGGAGCAGGAAAGGAAAAAGCAGTTGCAAAGGCAGAGCTATGAAGGGCTATGGTTGAAAGGCATGAGACATGGTTAGCTGAAGAAAGAACAAGTGAGGTGTGTCCTACCTTTAAGAATACAACCACACTGCTTTTCTGCCTGCCTTTTTTTCCTCTTTCTCACTTTGTCCCTCCACATCCCCCACCTGCAAACGAGCCTAATTTAAAATTATATATTTATATACACCACAAGGAATATAGAAAGCACCTATATTGTGAAAAACACGTAATGCTTTTGACTAAAACTTCTAATGGTTTAAGTGCCCTTCCTTGTGTGTGTGTGTGGCCAATGACAGATAAAGAAAATGTACCACATTTCTGGGAACACACCAGCACTAGAGTGTAGGAACAAAGAAAGACACAGACATTTGGAGTAATAAAGTAAGTGCTGGAAATATAAACTAGAAAAGACAGTGATACAGTTCATAATTGACATTCTTGCCACATTATACAAAAATGCTACTCAGGGTAATCATGATTCCACAAGGAATAAAGCTCAGGGCTACTACCTTCAAGTCACTCACAATCTACCAAGGAGATGGAAATAAGTACAAGGCCACTGTGAGCAATTAGGAGTTACAGAAATAAAACTTTATGTTAAAAAACTAATAGAGTTCCATTTCTGGCATGACAATGGGAAGAGCTTCAGAGACCTACTCTCCAGTGAAACTGGTGAAAATTATTTGAAAAAGAAACAAAAAAACCCACCCACTTACAATCTCTGCAAATGGTCCTAAGGACATATAGCAAATGAAGCAGCATTTATTAAAGAAACTCTACTAAAACTCAGTGAGTAAAGAGTCTGTGGTATCTGGACCTAGACCCCACTCCCCCTATCTCCTATCTTGGTACAGATCTCACACCAGACTGGTGAAGCCAAGAACACAGAGCTCCCTCTCTCCCAGCTCCCAGTTGTAAGGCTTTCATCCTCGGAGGAACAAGATGTCAGTGTTTATCATTCTGCCCCCAGTTACCTGTTGCTGTGGCTAAGTTCCAGACAAGTGTGACTGAGAGCTGGGAGCTTCTTTCTTCCAGGCAGCCATCCATGGAGGCTACACCTAGAGGATGGTGCCACTAAGAATATTGAGGCCCCAACTGCCCTGACCCCAGCTCATGGAATGGGGGTTCTACATCAGGAGAGGCAAACCTGAGACCTGGGGCTGCCACTCAGAGGGAAGCACATCATTGTCCTCACCCCCTGTACTAGAGCTGTGGCTCGGAGATTTTGCCTAGGGGGAGAAGCAGGCCATAGAAAAGAGGGCTCCAAATCTCCCCCAATGGAACTGACTTCATTTGCAATGGAGTGTGAACTTCAGGCCTAAGCTGGTTAGGATGCTGGAGAGAACTGGGGGGGAGAAGACAGCTGGAAGGAACCATCCTGGGGTTAGAAGAAATCTCAAATACTTATTTCTGGAACTATTCCTTCCAAGGAGCCTTAATTTGACTGGATCAGTTTGTGGAGCAATTTACGTCCCAGGGAATTATTAAAAATAGCAGCCCAATCAGCCAGCAATTAGTGCATCTTAACAGCCAGTCGTGGTCAGGGAAAGAGACAGTCAAAAAGAGCCCTGTCAAGACCACTGTCATCCCAGGGTGACTGTGGGCATATGGAAGGATTCACTCCTAAGAAACAACATCAAGACTTCACATTGCAGGGCAAAGGGCTGTGGGGAAGGGAGTAAACAGACTTCAATCAAATAATCCAGTCACTAAAGAGTAAACAAAAAACAATAACCCTGGTGTGGGTGGGGAGACACTAGTATACTATATTGCTAGATTATATTTCTAAAATGTCCAGTTCCCAACAAAAAATTATGAGACATGCAATAAAACATAAGAGTATGACCTATATGCCTGTGAGAGTAGACAGATACCGTATTTAACAGGCAAAGACTTTAAATTAGCCATATAATTATGTTTTAAGAACTAAAGTAAACCATGGTTAAAGACGTAAAGGAAGGTAAGCATAAAGAGATAGAAAGTACCAAGAAGAACCAAATGGTAAGTCTGGCACTGAAAGGTACAATAAGTGAAATGAAAAATTCATTGAAGAGGCTCAACAGCAGATTTGAACTGGCAGAAGAATTAGTGAACTTGAAATAGATCAGTAGAGATTATGCAAGCCAAAGAACAGAGAGAAAACATATGGAAGAAAAATTAACAAAAGCCTAAGAGAAGAGTGGGGCATCATTAAGTACACACACACATATGTGTGTGTGTATGTGTGTGTGTATACATATACATACATACACATATATATATGTATGAATACCACAAGGAAAGGAGAAAAAAATATTCAAAAAATACTGAAAACTTCCCAAATTTACTCATAAACAATTTGTACAACCAGGAAGCTAAAAAAACTCCAAGTAATTTATACTACCACTACTACTATTACTACCACTACCACCATCACCACCACCACCTGCAAAGAGATCCACAGATACATCATAGCAAAACTGCTAAAAGGCAGACAAGGAGAAAACCCTGAAAGCAGCAAGGGAAAAAAGGACTCCTCATTTATACGGGAACCCCAACAGGATTAACAGCTGACTTCTTATTAGACACAGTGGAAATCAAAAGGCAGTGAGATAAGGTATTCAAAGTGCTCTGTAGGGATGTTTGTACATGTCAGTGACTATATTAAGAATCATGATATTGTATACTTTAAATGGGTGAACTGTATGGTATGTAAATTATATCTTGATAAAGCTGCTATTTTAAAACCAATAGGATTAGCACAAATATCAAAATCATTATTCAAAGTTATATTTGTCCTACTGTTAAAGTCAATGGAATACTTCTTTTTTAAATTGAGATATAACTGACCTATAACACTATATTAGTTTCAGGCATACACGTAATGATTCAATATTTGTATATATTGCAAAATGAAAACTATTTCTTTAAAGAGAATGTTAACCTCCCATCAAATAAATTGTCTGGGTTACATTTGGCTCCTTGGTACAAAACTTAAGACATTCAGACACTCTTCTGAGATGCAAATGAGAACAACAATAACAAAACACTTCCCTTCAAAAAGTATGTGTAAAGTCATAATGAATGTAGAAATTTAAACAAAAAGTGATATATTTTCTAATTATTCCCTATTGAATGTACAAATCTAGCTCAAGTAGCACTTCATTTGTCTGATGTCACCAGGATGTTCTATATATGGAAACTTTGCAGATAAATGTTGTGCCCAAACATTTAAAATCCTATTAACAATGAGAGCTCTTATAAAATATCCATTTATTAGTATTCTGTTGCTGCAGCAACAACTTATCATAAAGTCAGAGGCTTAAAACTATACCAATTTATTAACTTGTAGTATAGTGGGTCAGAAGTCTGACACAGGTATCACTGGATTAAAATCAAGATGTTGGCAGGGTTGCATTCCTTTTTGGATGCTCTAGGAAAGAGTCCATCTCCTTGCCCTTTTCATCTTCTAGAGACAACTCACATTCCTTGGAATTCTGGCCCTCCTCCTCAATCTTCAAAGCTGGCAACACTGCATCTCTCTAACCCTGCTTCTGTCATCACATCTCATTCCCTAACCCTTTTCTTCTGCCTCCCTCTTCCACTTTAAGGGCCCTTGTGATAACATCAGGCTCACCTGGATAATCTATAACAATGTCCCTATTTTAAAGTCAGTTAATTAGCAGCCCCAATTCTACTTTGCTGTGTAACCTAATATATTCACAGGTTCCAGGGATTAGGGCACAGACACCTTTAGGGGCCCATTATTCTGTCTACCACAGCTGAATATATCTTTACATTATTAAAAGTGAATATAAGGGATGCAAAGGTGGTATAATATTTGTAAACCAATCAATATCATATACCACATTAACAAAAAGGATTAAAAACCACATTACCATCTCAATAGATGCTGAAAAAGCATGACAAAATTCAACATCCATTCATGATAAAAATTCTCAACAAAATGGGTATAGAGGGTACGTACTTCAACATAATAAAAGGCCATACATGACAAACCCACAGCCAACATCATACTTAACAGCAAGAAGCTGAAAGCATTTCATCTAAGATCAGGAACAAGCAAGGATGCCCACTCTCCCCACTTTTAATCAACATAGTACTGGAGGTCCTAGCCATGGCAATCAGACAAAACAAAGAAACAAACAGCATCCAGATTGGTCAGGAAGAAGTCAAACTGTCACTATTTGCAGATGACATGAAATTGTACATAAAAAACCCAAAAGAATCCACTTCAAAACTACTAGAACTAATAGCTGAATTCAGCAACATTGCAGGATACAAAATTAATACACAGAAATCTGTGACATTCCTATACAGTAATGATGAACTAGCAGAAAGAGAAATCAGGAAAACAATTCCATTCACAATTGCATCAAAAAGAATAAAATATCTAGGCATAAACCTAACCAAGGAATTGAAAGACCTATACCCTGAAAACTACAAGATACTCCTAAGAGAAATTAAAGAGGATACTAATAAATGGAAATTCATCCCATGCTCCTGGGTAGGAAGAATTAATATTGTTAAAAATGGCCATCCTGCCTAAAGCAATCTACAGATTCAATGCAATCCCTATCAAAATACCAACAGCATT